GGTGTTAGTTCTGCCTTAAACTCCGTTCAGGGTTCCACCCAAAAGCCTGGCTCTTCTTCAACCTTCCGATCGCAGCTATTGCTCTTTCAGTGTTTCTCACCCAATGCTTCAGGCTGCCTGATCCGACGGCCTCTTACATCCAGGCAAGTGGTGCTGACAGCTTGATGAGGGGTTCCCAGACAGTGACTGAACCATTCGAGGGTCTGACACCACTATCAGTATCAGTGGAATGCAGACCTTGGCAGCATGATCCCAAGCTTCGATTGCTGCCGTGTGCTGGGATTCCGGAAGACTGAGATGCTGGGCCCTTCCTAGAGACTCATGTCCCGCCCAAGAATCTTATCAGCCCATGCACTGTCTACTCCCTTCAGTCCCCAGTGGAACCTTTTCGACGACTGTCACTAAGGCAAAGAAGGAGAGTGCATAAGTTTGTGTTCGAAGGGATGGGGGTCGCGGTTTCCAAACATCCCCCCACACCCCATCCCCTATATAAACCCTGAAACACAAAACCCTAAGCAACCTCAATTCCTACACTCTAACACGCCTAAAACCCAAAGCCTTCTCAACCCTACGGCCCTACGGCCCAACTCCCCAAAATCTCTTCAACCAGACGGCGAGGTACCCCAACTGCCCGATGGCTCTTTGCAGCTGGACGCCAGCGTCCTCCTGGCCAAGACGCCACTCCCCAAGGCTCTTCATAGGGGGCCCTTATATGATGATTCGTGTTGTTATCATTTTAGTGTTGTTGTTGCCATTGTTGCTAAACTTGTTAGCGCCATTATTAATGTTGCTATTGCTCTTACTGTATGTCTTATGCAGTGTTATTTGTCTTGCTGTTGTTATCGTTGTTTGTATTGCCAATTGATATTGCCATCGTTGATGTTCGTGCAATTATTGGCATGTTTACATTTTTGTTGTCGTCGTCGTTGTCGGTGTCGTCGTCGTTGTGGCTATGATTATTGTTGTGATTATTACTGTAGTAGCACTACTATCATTGTAGCTACTACGGTTACTTTTACTATTATAGTCAGCATAGTTTTCTATTTATTATTACCATCATTGCTACTGTTATTGTTATGACTCCTAATATCAGTAGTGTTGTTGTTATTGTTGTAATTCAGGTTATCAGTTTGTTATGATTAATCGTATTCTTGTCACTCTTAGTATTCCAAACACTGTTGTTCATACTACTATGAGCTTTATAGGGCAAGTCCGTTTAGGGGCTAGGGGGGTTAAGGTGTTTCAGGTTCAGAAGTATTGAGACTCAGATCCAAGCTCCTGTTGACCGGAAGCCCAGTGCTCCAAGCTCGCAACTGCAGTTTAAAATTGTGTGCCTTCGCATTTCGGTCTTCCGTTGGTTCGAAGCATTCGTGCGGGCACGCGCGACCTTTCCGAAGCCGAATAACACAAGCTCCAAGTCAACGGACTCTAACCCGTAATTAATTACGCTCTAATGCCCCGCATCCGACCCCGGAATCCTACTTTCTCAACCCCCTCACCGACCAGACTCCATGCCAGAAGGCAGGTGGTGCTGGCAAGGGTTAAGTGAGTGCGAGTAGCTATCAGGATGCTCCTGGCTTTCTTCTGTGACCGCAGTGTTTTGCGGCTGATGTGTGTTGATCATTGTTGCGTTGCCTACCTCATTCCTGGAAGCGGTTATCTTACTTATTGCGCTTATTGCGATGCTATTGCTGTTACCGCCCCTCTTACGTCTCCACCTCGTGAGAAGATGCTAGACTGTACATGACAGAATGCTACTGTCAGGCCGCGGCTGAGTTCTCCTCCATCCACGTCATCCAGACAGCAGGCAGTTTGCAGAGGAAGTGTATTTTCAATGCTTCTCTTCGTTAGGATCATCGTGAAGTCTGTCCCCTTCAACAGTGCCGAGCTGCTGCGAATCTTCCCCACCATCCATGCCACTGACATCTGCTGGCAAGATTCCCGAGCTAGCTTCCATGTCGTAGGGGCTGTGCAGAAATCCCAGGACCATTCTGCAGCCATACTGTGGTAAGAACACCTAAGAAGACCGAACCCTGAACCCGAGCTAAAGCCTACTCAAATCCGATCCCTGAGCCCCAAACCCCGCGGGGTCCGGAGGTGTCGCAGCCCGGATTGGGGCCGCGCAAGTGAAGAACTCGGCCGCGAAGATCGGGAGCCGTGCCACCACGATTTCGCGGACAGGTTCGGCTTTTAACCTTTACATTTCGTGGGCTCCTGACGGAAATCCTAAACCTCCTGACAGAAGCCCTGAAAAGGTGAAGCCTTAAACCCTCAGACGAGTTTCAGGATTGCAAGCCTGACCGAACTGCGGTGAGATGCTCAGGAAACCCTGCGTCGTGCATGACTGGCCGGCAATTCCGACTGACGATGCCAAAGCTGAATATGACGAGCCTTGTCTGCAACAAGGGTTCGGCACCAAAACGAGTACCGAGTGAGCTGGCGCTCTGAATAGCTGTTTCTGTGAAGACAAACGAAAACGGGTTCGCCAAGAGTTCAAGGCTCCAGTTTTTTTCGAGAAATGCCTGGGTGCAAGGGAAACCTGACACCGATGTTCTGTACGACGTTACGAGCCCGAAGCATCCAGGTCCTGTCATCGTCGTCGCACTCGGCTTTAAACTAATGCAACCTTGGCCCTCCGAGCCGTGCTGCTACCGGGCCTACCCAAAGGCGCTCTACAACGTGGGCAGCGACCTGATTCTTCAGGCCAGCGCGTGTTGGCTCTCCAGGGGCTTGCGGGTCTTCGAGAAAACTGACTTCAGGGCCCCTTTCCAATGCCTTTTGAAGTGTGGAAGACTCGCACCCAGGGCATGGACCCCGAGCTTTTCAGCTGCGACTCTGAACCGGCTATTGAAAGATGCTCTTGCTTTTGTGCCTAAACCAGAAATACTGAAAGTCTCCAGAGCCCTGTGGCCTTTTGAGGGCGCCAACCGGGCGACTCTTCTGGTTTTCGTCGGCACGGGGGAGCCTGGTGAGATGGCGACCTGTCTGCACAACGGAGTAGCTTGGAAGACGGTTTAAAGGTTCATCTAGAACTTTTGGGGCTGAAGGTTTCAGGGAGTCCTTCAAGGTTCACCGGGCTTATAATCCGAGCTGCCAAGGGCTCTGCAGGGTCGTTTGCGCCAACGAATTCCCTTCGCTTGAGTATACATAGCTCGATTACATCAGCCCTGCTTTGGCTTTGGGTGTGAAGTGTCGGAGTGTTTTGTTTGGAGACAAGGGCTCGGGGTTCTGCCTCTCAGGCGGGCATGCCACAGGGCCCAGGCCCGTTGAGACGCATTCCTTTACCGAACAGTTTCCAGGAATGTATGCGCGACAAAAGGCTCCTCATGGACGTGATGGCCTCTATTGCGCACTATGGCAAAAGCAAGTTTTTCTCAACTACCGTACGAGGAAGTACTACTATAGCTTCGCCAGCCTTTCTCTGAAGTCCCCCAGAGACAAGCCTTAATATAATATAATATAATATAATATCATATAATATAATATAATATAATATAATATAATATAATATAATATTATATAGTATAGTATAGTATAGTATAGTATAGTATAGTATAGTATAGTATAATATACTAATATAATATCACTATCAACAAAGGCGCTGGCGGTCATCTTGGCCATGTGCCTCGGAAGAGCAGGGACTAATCCCTTCCCCCTAACCTCAAAGGGTGGCTCCCCCTTCAAGAAAACCCGGAAGGCGGTCTGATGATTAGGGGGATATTACTTTTATGTCTAGTGTCACTTTTGAGAGATCTTGCTCCTGCTCTGGCTCTGGCTCCTGCGCTGGCTTTTGCTTCTGTCTTTTGCGCCTGCTCTTGCTGTTGCTCCTGCTCTTTCTGTGCTGTTGCTGCTTTTGCACCTGCTCTTGCTCTTACTCCTGCTCTTGCTGTTGCTCCTGGCTCCTGCTCTTGCTGCTTGCTCTTGCTCCTGCTCCTGCTCTGGCTTTAGTCTTGCTCGTGCTCTTGCTCTTGCACCCCCTGCTGCAAATTAGTTTTTTCAGGGCGGGAATGATTTCCGGAGGATTGGTCCCAACGTGTTTTCATCATTAGGGTGGTTGTATTCTGTCTGTTCTCGCTCGCTCACGTTCACTATGCAGCAGTAAGCCTGGTACATGCTGCCTCCGAGATGAGAATAGAGTACCACCCCTGGGAACACACACCATTTTCTACGAAGTGGTGATTGTTCGAATTGCGATGGCTACCATCTCACCCAGCAATCATGCTAGCCATACTCAAATTCACTTCTTCACTGCTTCATGCTGCACACTCCACAGGTTGCCCTTCCGCCGGGGCCCCGGTCGAAGAGCTGTAGGGCACCGGATGGGGAAAGTGGGTTCCGCTTTGTCTGGTTTTCTGGTTTTGAGGCTCTGGGTTGAGGGTTGAGGCCTTGACGGCGGGTCCATGCGAAGCTAAAAGCCTTTCTTCGGTGCAAGGTGGCATCCAGCTCGCGTACGTCACGCCCGCAGAGGACCTGCAGCTTCTGCAACAAGGAGCTGTTCCTTTCCGCCTTGTCTTTTCTCTGTGCTCCAGGACTATGAGAACCCCCTGCAGACCCTCCGGTCTCCCTCGGGAGTTTTCGAGTACACCGCGACACAGCCGGAAAGAATGGGCAGGGTGTCCCTCGCGGCCATCTTCGGTGTGAGCCCCAGCATCCCACCATGCCTTCCAGGTAAGGTTCGTCTTAGCCAGGTACATGCGCTACCGCCTAAAACCTGAATGCTCAAGCCTCACGCCCTCAACCCGCAAACCCCGAAACCATAAACCCCTAAATTTCTAGGCTGGAACACCCTAGGCTCGATAATCCCATTTCAACTCTGAACCCCAACCCCCGATGATTCCCAAGGTCCACTGGCCCCGCGAACCTTCAAGGAGCCCCTGTCGACGTGGGCGCCTCTCCGCCCTCCCCCCAGCTCCGGAAGAAGTAAGGTAATATATTGTATAGGGGTCGAAATAAATACCAATACTATGCTGGGGGTTCCTTGCTATAATTGTAGTATAACGGACCCCAAAACCCTATTCTAATTATTAAGGCCCCTACCTTAGGGGTGTTTCTTTCTTTCGGGCTCCCCAAATGAATGAGGGCTCTGGAGATCTTGGTACAGAAGGCTTGTACTGACATTTGGGAGCTTTCTTGAAGGCTCCTAACCTCGGGTTCCTCATACCCAAAATCTGGTCATCTAGAGCGTTGCGGTATATTAGGGTTCCTGATTTTGCGACACTTCCACGCTTCAAGCACGCTCTGAATCATCGAGCAGGGGCGCAGGGTATCTTGTGCTTCGGGTTGTAAGCCTTGTAGGAACTTGAGGAAGGTTTTGGATTTGAGTCTTCGGGTTTGGGGGAACCCTGCACCCCAGATACTGAGCTTAGCAGAGGCTGAAAGAGGTCTGTTCCACAGCTCGCCCTGAAGCACCCGGAGCTTCAAAGCAAGGCGGCAACGACCCAAGGCCCCAAAGCCCTCCCCCCCCTCAGCCCAAAGCTGGAATGCGGGCCTCAGCAATTTCGGGCCTCTGGAACTCCAAGACCCCCTTTCCCTTCGACCCGAAGCCCCGGATCCCCACCCTCGTGAGCCCTGATCGGTGAGGCCCAGAGAGGCATCCCGAAGAACAGCCGGCGCCCTTCAAGATCGGCGGATTGGATCTCCCAATGGCCACTTGGCGCCCATGAAGCGTGTTTGAGTGTCGGGGTTTCGGGGGCTTCTGGTTGAGGTTTTGTGTAGATCTTGAACCAGCAGCTCAAAGGAACCTTGAACCGTCGCAGCCGTGCGCTATCCTCCCCCATCCCCTGTACCAGGTCACCTTCGAGGGCGACTATTACAAGGGTGTCGATCGCCTGGCCGCTCTCCTCGTTGGTCACTACGGCAGCGAGATCTACCCGGTGGTTTCCGTCGGTGCCTGGTATGGCACGTGGGTTTGGCTTAGTGTGGGGCTTTCGTCCAAGAGGCGCAGATCATGCCCGAGATTGATTGAAGCATGACCTTTGACTTCGGCGCTTCGGGGCTTACGTGACTTGCATTCGTTTCAGCACAATGCCACTCTGTTCCGAGACCGCCGCGTCAGGTGAGACCGGTGATGCTCTTGGTTATGGCTGGGGCCTCAGCCGTGGGTTGTTTAACAGTTTTGCAATCACGTCATGATTCAAAGGATGGTTTCCCGATGCTGTTATCAATACACGAACCCATCCATCCATCCCTCCGTCCGTCCCTCCCCATCCATCCATCCATCCCTTTGTGCGTGCGTGCATGCATATGTTAGGACCACCCGGGCTAACTCTGCCAAAGCCTTCAGCTGGGTGCTGAGGCGACGACTTGCTCGGCGCTCTCGCTGAGCTGGACAGTCATGAGCTTTTTGTGGGCTGGGCCTCGATAGAACAACGTTTTGGCACCAGTCGCAAGTACCTTGATGATTGTATCTGCCATTCCCACTTTCGACCTTGCCTACAAGAGCCCTTGGACATCATGTTCTCTCTGGCAGCTGTTGCTTTGGACAGGTCTGGTGATTGGTTGTGCGGCTTCGGGTCAGACTTCCCTATCAGTATAGGTGTAAGCCTGGGACTCCGGCATCCAACATGGAGGGCTGCATCATCGCTACCGAGTAGCATAGTAGTTCAGGGGCACTAGACAAGTAAGTGCCCATACTGTTTTGGAGTTCCTCAGTATAGCTATAGTAACTATAGTAAAGTACCCCGAGATCCAATTCTCATTACTAAGCCCCTATGCCCTTTTTACTATGCTATAGCACCCTAAACCCCAAACCCTAAAAAAAACGCTAGCAGTTGTACCCATGTCCCATTGAAAGGACTGCCCCGGCTTCTACTTCCCGCACGCGTCGGGAGAGACCTGCAAGAGCCCGGAGGTCGGTTACATCGGGGCCTTTTTAGGAATTAGAGTCGCCTTTGGGTGAATATTATAGTATCTTATAGTCTATTATAGTACAAAACTATAGTATATCATAGCATATTATAGCATCTTAATAGTATCAAGGAGCCCTACGGAATAGTTCATTACACCTCTGCGGTTTGACGGGCCTTGGGCCATCTTGGGGGGTTGGGCTCTTGGGCTGCTGGTCTCGAGTGTCAGGCTTTGGGGGTCTAGCGGCCTGGGGTTGGTCAAGGGCTTGACAGACTTGCATGTCCACGAGTTGCGGAAATTGATTTCTTTTGCAGAGTGATGGTGATGTCAGTTGTCGAATTCGAGCTTTTGCAGAACAAAGTCACGAGTCTTCAGTTCCGGCTGCGGGCAGTGGACAGCATCGCCGTTCTTATTGACATCGCCCTATCGCCCTATGCGCTAAAGGCTTACTTATTGTCAAGACGGTAGTCACTTGCGCAAGCGTGGAGTACCAACCTAGACGCCTGAACACGTTAGAATGTCAGCCCACCCCAACATGATATGCATGGCAGCCTTCCACCACCTAGAGGTGGACCCGGCTGAGGCTCTCCTTCAACAGCTTTAAACTCCAAGGCCCCAAACTCTGAACCGTAAACCTTGAAACCCCAAACCCGTCAAGTCATGAACCTGCCTTTGTTGATGTTGGCCGGGATGTGCAGGCCTACGGCAAGGTAGAGCTGCTGAAGGCCGTCTGGCCGGATGATGAGCTCGTGCCGGTTTTTGACAAGGGGCTGTAGACTATGTAAAATTAACGGTCCCTTACCATGGCAAGTGTGGGGGTTCTTCCAGGAAGGATCCTGTTTACGCTCTTTTTCAGGTCCCGCTCACCTATTTAGCATAGCTAAGAACTAGTGTTTACATCATGCACCCCGCAAGCCTGTACCCCACAAGATCTGGAAGTATAGAATGTCGGAGCCAGCATGGGGCTTTGAACAGCAGCAGGAACTGTACTTAGAAGCCATTGGCCCCCAAACACATCGACCAAGATCTTCTGATTCCGGATGCTGAAGCAAGGTGAATCAATCCTGAAATCCTGGAAATTTTCATGAGTTGAATGCAGTGCAAAGAGCATCCCAATGCTAGCTATAGTGGTGCTCAGGTGATACACCGAGAGTAGTCGTACATAAGCAAGTCTTGCTTGTAGGGCTTTTGTCATGGTAAACTCGGATTGGCGGCGCTTTGCAGGCCATCGGCGCAGCGAAGCAGAGCAACAAGAAAGTCGTGGTGATTGCCGTGGCTCGCCCGGTTCAGTGCCTGCCTGCATCAGGCTTCGGATTCAGCCTGAGAAGCTCATGCAACTCCCGCTAGTGCAGGCAGATGTGCTATGTTGTAAGACCATGAAGCGGACCGTAGAGTACAGGTGTGTTTGTGGAGGAAGTAGTGTTTTCTGTTCTACAGAGTGCCATTGAAACACGAAGTGCCTTTGCAGCGCTGTCATTTGTCTGCAAAGGTTAGCGCTGTTTCAACAAAGCGAGCTTGTTCAATTCTCATTCAAGCAAGATTTGTCTCCTGGACCGTAGCCAAAGCCTTCGCAGTATGATCAGTTTTCAATCCTGCTTCAGCCTTCAGCTGTCGCATGTCGATGCGGCAGATAGGAAACTTTGTGCTGAGTAGCCTGAGACCGTGCATCACATGAGGTGGGAGGTGGCGTGAATGGCAACGCAACTGGCATGATTGCTGCAGCCGGGCTTGCAAGAGCTAAAAGCTGTCATGCTGCACCTGCCACGGGTGCTCTTAACGGAGACTATGTAGCAGTGCAACGGGACACAGATCACGTCATGTTGTATCGTGCATCCAGTTTATCTTGTACTGTACATCTCCTGCTGATACCAGTTCAGATGACAGTTTTTAGATTGGGGGGTTTTCTGGGTGTAAGGTTTTGGAATTCCGATCAAAACGGCACAGGGTTGCGTGTGCCGGCGTGTTTGGTCAACATGTTTTATGGCCTGGATATGTTTTATCGGCTTTCAGAGATGCTATTTGGGTTTAGGGTTTAGGGTTTTCCAGACCGGCCTTGCTTGCTCAGGCCATGACCGGATCGGTCTTCGTCGAGGTTCCCACGACGCTGATGCACTACAACGATGCCACGACCTCCGCGAAGAAGGCATTTAGCCGCTCAGTAGCGAAGTCACCCGAAGTTCTCCGGTAAGACGTGCAGGCAACCTGCGTGCACAACAACATTTTTCGATGCCCCGTCCTTCGTCGCACTTGGTTTTCCGATCTCTGTTTCTTTCCGCTTCTTCGTCTTGCTCTTCCGTAAGCCTGTGGAGTACTCTGCACATGGCACGGGCATCTGGCGACCTCTGGTTTCCGGTGATGTGCAGTCGTCGTTCTTGCAGCCTGAGATAATTTTTTTCTCGGGTCCAGATGTCAGATGCCCTGAAAGCGGACTCAATGGAACCGCACTTCAAAGAGCTTCTGCCAAGGTCATGCGAATCCTGACTTTCATGGGCATGGATCCGACAAACAGGGCACGGGTTTCTCAGAAGCTCCTAACTCTTTTTTGCAGTGGAGAGCAAAAATGGTCACTAGCTCCTCTAAACGCCAAGGCCTGGTCGTGAACGGACAGACACCTCGATGCAAAGACTGTGGGCTTCGGAGGTTGGGTTCCTGTTTCTTCTCCTTTCGTCCTTGCTTGATATCAGGACCGGATGTGGCACATAAACACAAAGATCTCAGCCCGTCAAACCAGTGCCATGGTCTCTGTCAGTTCACATTTTGTCACAAGTTGTTTGCTGGGTGAGATCTTTACGCGGCACTGCGCTTCGACTGTAAAACATGGCATATTCAAC